GAAGCCCGAGGCAGAGTTGCTCTGCCCCGGGCTTCCTGGAATCAGCCGCTGATCAGTTTCAGCAGTGGCTGAATCTGGATGCCAGTTCCGACTTACATACAGATTCAACTTAAGAACAAACCTACAGTCCCTATCTTGTACGTAACCCAGGGACTGCCTGTATTGCAAGCTATGCTGGTAACCCCTGTGGGCTCCCGCAGTGCATTCCAGCACCGAGGGGACCTCACAGAACAGGCTCAGCTGGCAACGCCTTTACGTGTGGCATGAGCATGCGTTGCAGTGGGTACCTCCTGTTGATCAGTACACATAGTTTAAGGGGAAACAGACTTTCATACTGCCTCAAATCCTTCTCATCCACCAAAATCCTCTTTCCTGCTCCCAAAAAGGCTCTCTCAGTACCTCAGGCTCCCCACCACTCACTCGCTGCGTCTTCCCCATATATCCATCTTCACTCCACTTGCCCACCAGACCCCTCGAATCCACTTCCCTCCACCTCTTTCCTCCCCAAACCACCTCATCTTACCCTCTTCCCCAGCTTTCTTCCCAAGGCCCATCCCTGAGCCTGCATCTCCCCACTGCCATGTCTGAGCCACTCACATCTAGATCCATCACCACAACTCCCCCCTCAGCCTGCCACTCCCCACGATCCCTCATCTCAGGTCCTCCCTCTCCCATCTTGTACCCTCAGAAGCTCCCTTCCCCCTTGTTGGTTCCTCCTTCTCCTCAGCTCCAAATATCTTTCAGGAGGAGCATGGGGGGAAATGAAGGTGGATGGGGGTCAGGGCTTGTTGGCTTGCCAAGGTCCTGCCCAGAATACAGAGTCTATTGCGAGGCAGGTAGTATGGGGGCTGAGGCTCCAAAAATCAGCCTGTTGTCTGCCCCACAGAGCAGCCATAGTGGCAGAGTCAAGGAAAGAATGCCACGCTGCACTAAGCAAAGGACTCAGATGGCTATTTTCCCCCACCAGCTTGCTTGGCAGCTGCCAAGAAGGGGCTGAATCTGGGGGTGGAGGAAAGGGAAGCGAGAACAGAGTGTTCCTTCCAATTTAGAGGTTGGGAGGAGATTCCTCTCACCTTTATCTCTTAAAATTATACCCACATCGATCATAACGGCACCTCTGACGTGCACCTAGAGCTTAAGTCGATGACCTAGGTACATTGCTCAATGCTGTGAAAACATTCATGTAGTTAGGTCGATCTAACACCCGACTGTAGAGACAGCTTAGTTAACGAAAGAAGTTGTATCCCTCTAGTGATTATAACATAGATATACTCCTACCCTGAGCTCGGGGCTTTATTGCTGCAGATAAAGTATGTACACACAGGACAAGACAAAAAGCTTCCAGTGTAAAGTTTTAAATCACCAGGCTCAGTAATTATGGGTGTACAACATTCTGAAATGGTACATGGTGATGCACCAGGTACATTTACCTTCTTCCCTCCTACTAATCAGGGCCGACTTATCCATTAGGCACAGCGCCTAAGGCCCATGATACTTTTAGGGGCCCACAAAAATGTTTTAATTTCTTTTAAAATCAGAAGAAAAAAAAACCAACTTTTAGGGTTGAAGAAAATGTTTTAATTTTTTTCTCACATCAGAAAAAAATGAAACTTTTAGGGCCCACAAAAATCTATTAAATTTTGCCTAAAACAGAAAAAAAATGTTGAAGTATTTAAAGTTGTGTGAAAAATAATTTTTTTTTTTTTTTTTATGGAGGAAGGGGCCCACTTAGGCAAAAGTGCCTAGGACGCCCACAAAAGTCATAATGCGGCCCTGCTACTTATGACCCAATTGTCCCACCAAAGGCATTTGGTTGGGTATATCACAACATGCAACTTCCCTCTGAAGACAACTCTTTTCAAGGAAGAGCTTTTAGAACATAAGAACACCCATACTGGGTGAGACCAAAGGTCCATCTACCCCAGTATCCTGCCTGCCAAAAGTGGCCAATGCCAGGTGCCCCAGAGGGAACGAACAGAATTGGTAATCAAGAGCTCAAAGTGATCAAGTGATTCATGGCTATGACTGAATCCTGTCTTGCCTCTTGAGCAATGGTACTCCTGGTACTGTCAAGGCCAACATATAGGCAGTTCATTGATTAATGAGAAGCCCCAGGGCCTGAGAACTGTAGTTGTACCCAGCATTCCTTGCATGTGCTGTTCTCGGATATTTCTTCTTTCTATGGAAAGGAGCAGCAGGATCCTCATGGGAGGGAGGAGATTAAATAGCAGCTAGTCTCACACTTCCTTCAGAAGTACGCCTGGACAGATTAGCATACACGTAGCAAGTTAGAGTATCTCAAGGAACTGGTTTCTTTAAGGAGATGGGGGACAGAGCCATCATGGGATTCTGTGCATTTCACTAGCTTTACTATGGTAAAAGAACGTAACAGTTTTGGTTATGTAGCCCATGCTTTCTTCCACACTTACTATTTATATTATGGTAGAGCCTAGGGACTCCAGTCATGGACAAATACCCCATTGTGCCAGCTGTGGTACAGACACAGTTTGACAGACAACCCTTGCCCCAAGGAACTTACAGTCTAAACAGACCAGATATCTGAGGGCAGGGGAGGAGATAGAACACACAAGCAGGGTGAACACTGTGAGAGTGGCAAAT